CTTTATGCATGCGATTCCTATTGCAATAAATATGCAACTCTGTAATGGAAGGAGCCGGCCAATGGATTTTTTTGCGAATAGTGTAACGATTTCATTCAACGTTAGTCCGCAGGACAGTTTTTTTGTCACATTTTCATCTGGCGAGTTATATTCTATAACACCATGTTCAAACTATAGAAAGGACTCCGCTGTCTATAACTGATATCGAAAAAAGTACCAAGAACTTCGCAATACATGCATTACTGTCAATATAAAATATAAATACAGCAGACGCTCGATAATGTGAGCTAATTTAATCCAAGTGTGGTTCACATTATCGAAATGTTTACATTAGCGAACGTGATTTATATAATATTTGATTTATTAAAAGAAACGTTTAATACATACTATTTATAACAAAATAAACAAATATTCAAACAGCGATAAGTATTTTTTTAATTAGAAGAAAAATAATTAACAATTTTTGTCGGCGTAAATTTGCGCTTAGCATTGTCTTCCGATGCCTGCGCCCGTAATTTACGAAGAACTAAAATATCCGTGTATGAAACTTCTTTTCTTTCAGCCCAATCTAAAGCTTGCTTAAAAACTTGTACACCTTGCGCGTCAGTCTCTACACTTCTGACTTCAATGGGATCGTTCTCATATCCTCCTCCTTATCAGCATCATTCGTCTGCTTATCTTCGTTCCATAAATTAATATCAGCAGGAGTACAAACAATGTTGGGATTCACTGTTTTCAATAAATCAACAACATCCAATGACACACTAATAACATTATCATTATTGGATCGCAAACGTTATCTAATTACGCTTAAGGGGACATCGTCTTCATCATCTTCATTATTGGTACAAAAGAATTATTCCAAAATTTTTGAATAGTTTGCTGGTTCATTCCAGGCCACATATACGTATAATTATAAAACAGCTTCTCGTAATGTTGCTTTTTTTAAAGCCTCAGATAAGTTTTCAGGATTCTTAGATAAAACAGACGAAAGTAGAAACTTCCTATAGTATAGTTTGGTGAGTCTTATTATATTCTGGTCCATCGGATGAATTAACGGTGTTACGTTGGGCGGCATGTACATGACGAAAATTGGCCCATCCCTGCTCCTCAGTTGTTGCTCAGGAGGATGACTTGGTGCATTATCCAATAGTAACAACGCTTTTATTGGAAGCTTCTGTTGTTTTAGGAAACCTTTTACCTACAAATTGAAAACACATTTTCAAATTATGAATAGATTTTATCGCAGAGGTGAATCCCCTCCCTACACTCTACATCATAAATCGGGGACTCCCCGACGCCCGACATAAATCATCGAGGCTTCAGCATTCTACCGTCGCGCTGTTTCCGTGCGCCGAGAGTTGTTTACGTTATCGAGCGTACACATCGTTTACTTTATCGCGCGTTCCGTTTGATCCTATAGAACGAAGTTTGTGTTTACGTTAGCGCAAGTTTTCATTATCCCGTGTTTGCGTTATCGAGCGTCTGCTGTATACTAAAATGAAAAAGTGGCATGTACATCAGGGTCGATGGTTGGCTAAAGCAGTCAAGCTTTCTAATAAGGATAAGGTAGATATCTGCCTGTTCATCGTGACAACATACGTGAAACGGTGGTTGCAATCCATTTTATCGGTAAAAGCACGAAACCAGGATTTACATTTTACAAAATCAACTTTACAAAAGTTCTGACAATATATATTGATGACGACGTAGATGAGGACAGTAAAGTAGAAACTGTTGCTAATGTAGCCAAAGAAAGAAGAAGTTTGACGCACATATTTTGTCTTCTTTCACTGCTTCGATGTGATATAATAACTGTTAAAAGAAGCCAGCTGTCGTCCTATTTACTACAAACTAAATGTCCGTTTGTTTAGCAGTTAACATGAGAAACGTCTCATATAAGAGATGTTGAACCCTAAGGTACGTTTTCCGAAGCAATACCCGGAGTATCTCGCCCGGATCATATAAAGTCTGATGTGTAGTGTGTTGCACGAACCTAAAAGCAAGTCCATAAAATAGCAGCTGCACTTGAGCAATAATAAAATATCCCAAGACAAACAACCGGGCTGCCTCTCAGTAACGCTACGTTTCAGTCTCGTACCCGTTTACTCGATTTTATGCGCTTTCCGCTCAACACGAACTCCCAAGAAAATAAATAATTTCAGTATCTTGCCGCCGTACCGCCGATTTGAGTGGGTGCGGCTAGTTACGCCACAAAACTAAACACTAGCGGAATGGAAATGTCACATGTTACGAATACCTCTGCCTATGATGAGTAGTAATATTAACGGTTATGGTAAGGATCTTTAGGGATGCACGCAAGGCGCATCTTCTTCGTTTATGTTATTTCAAGTGGCTAGAGAGACGCAAGGGAGAGAGCCTGGCATAACTAGGGCACATTGAGGCCCGCTCTCGAACGCTAAATACTTGAATTATTCGCGTATTCTCTGGTTTATAAAATCAGGGAGTGTATAGACTTCGCTTATTTGACGCCTTAAATGAGTTTTAATTTTCGGGCGATTGCCCAAAGAGCGTAACATAGGCGCTTGGGGCACATTGAATCTCGCACTTGAACGCTAATTACGTGGTTTAGCTCAATTCGCCGCCAGTTCTTATTGGTATTCCAAAAACTTGCATATTCGCGTATTTGCTGTTATAACTATTGAAGTGGAATAGAATTCGCCTTATCTGACGTCCTAAATGAATTAATTTCGTTGCTGACTGCCCAAAGAGAGGTAATGGCAACCTTGGGGCACCATTAATTCTCGGCACTCGAACGCTAATTACGTGGTAGTATCAATTCGCCGCCAGTTATTATGGATTTCCAAAAAACTGAATTATTCGCGTATTTCCTGGTTATAACATCAGAAGTGGGATAGAATTCGCTTATCTTGACGGCATAAATGAGTTTTAATTTCGTGCGATTAGCCCAAAGAGAGTAAATCGGCACTTTGGGGCACATTGAATCTCGCACTCGAACACTGAATACGTGGTAGATCAATTCGGCGCCAGTTATTATTGGTATTTCCAAAAACTTGAATTATTCGCGTATTTTTCTGGTTATAACATCAGAAGTGGGATAGAATTCGCTTATCTTGATGGCCTAAATGAGTTTTAATTTCGTGTGATTGCCCAAAGAGAGTACATCGGCAATTTGGGGCACCTGAATCTTGCACTCGAACGCTGAATATGTGGTAGATCAATTCCGCGCCTAGTTATTATTGGTATTTAAAAAAACTTTAATTATTCGATATACCTACAACATCAGAAGTGGGATCTAATTCTCTTGTCTTGACAGCCTATATATATAGACTTTGAAGTTGAGTCATTAATTTTCAGATAATGATTGTAGAAGGAAGATAAACCAAAATATGTGTATAAAAATAAAAAAAATAAAAAAAAATTTTACCTTGTTTTATAAAGTATCCTCCCGACAAGTATTTCAGTGCGGACCTGTATTTGATCGTGAGGTCTTGGAGCACGGCATGCCGTCCATATGTGAGGTCTTAAGTCAAATGATTCACGAACCCGTTGTACTACATTAACAAAGGCACGAGGGGTTGGTTGCACTCGATTGGGAAACCGATCCTCATAAACATGTGCCATTTTTTATTTCGTTTGAGCCACGCAACGGACACCACTATCCACTACCGACTGACACTGACTGTATACAACTGAATGAAATAATTGTAAAAACATCGTTCCAAATTCTTTCGCTTTTTCGTTTCCGATGCGATGAACCGATAAGGCGAATTATATCCGTTGTCGCCAAACACGAGCACATAATATTATTATTGAGACAGGGCGGTACTCAAACTTCCAAAGGGCTATAACTTTGTTACTTTAATTTTACCAGAAAAATGGTAAAGGAAAAAAAACATTTCTTTTGATCAGATCTACTCACTGTTAAAATAAATGACTCAACTTCGAAGTCACCCTGTATATATATATATATATATATATATCCATATATGTATAGGTTTTTTAAGTGAGAACCCTGCGGGTCACCGCCTGCTCCCTGCTTTTAAGTCAGTTGCATAGACCAGCCTCGCACGCCTAATATTTTTTCCGGTCCGCTTTTATTCAACGCTTTGGCGATGACGACATAGTCAGTGATATCACGGCATTGGGATATAAATGAAAACGAACTACTTTCTCCATTAATTTAGAAAAACCTTTTTCAAGGAACAACATTTCTGGATCTCCAAACCTCTCTCACGCTCCTCGACACCCTTCGGGAATATAGACGTTGCCTCCTTATCCTTACGGTACAAACTCTCACCACAGTACTGCTCTTTATTTTAACACGATACCTTGACTGTATTTATCTGCAGAAATCCAGCCCAGTTGACTATTCCCACATATTTGCGTAAAATATCTTCACTAGCAGACAACAACTGTTCGTACGTAATCGCCGTTCAACTTGAGACCTTTGACATTATTACACTTAATCAGCTTCATCCTGGGCATTCTATTTGCATTTCGACGCAATTTTGCTGATTCTAATATGGCAGCAAAACGTTCACACATGTTAAACGTAACGGTAGTGCAGATGCCGATGTCTATTTGAGATACTGGCAATATAAAGATACCTAATGACCTCTGTAATTTATGCCCGTTTAAAATGTATTTGGCTGTCTAACTAGTCTCACTGATTTTTCAGATATTGTACTGAAAATCTATAAAATATTAATTTCAAAATTCGGAATAGAAATTTTACAAAAATCAAGTCGTTTGATCAAACTCAATGTTAACGATAGTCTAACCACGATTTAATTTTTTGTATGTTCTTTTACTGTCTCCTTCAAATGAAATAGCGGTGTCGTCAGCATATAAAATCCGGGTTCCTTCTATATTAAGGTTAGTTGCTGAAAAAATGTATGTGATAAATAAAATTGGTCCAAGAACGGTGCTCTGTGGAACGTCAATTTTAATATTTAAAGACTCACATGAGGATTTTTGAATTTTAATAGTTTGGATTTACGTCGGTTAAACAAAAAATTCGGATAAAATACAAATAAGTATTAATAATTAATTAATCACAATAATCATCAGCTGGACGCTCCCACTGATATAGCCTGTGTTTTTAATAAATATTTTGTTGATATAGGTGAGCAAATAGCAAGTCAGATTGATCAAAACTCAATTCTTGATACATCAGATCCTCATGTCGTCAACATTGCTCACTCTATGTTTCTAACTCCAGTGGATAACATAGAGTTACAACAAATAGTCTGTAATCTGAAAAATAATAGCGCACCCGGAAAAGATGGCTTACACACTAAAACTATCAAGATGATCATCAAGTATATCAGTCACCCTATAACTCACATTATCAACCTCTGTTTCAAATCGTCAGTAATTCCTCACCAATTTAAAGAAAGCATAGTGACACCAATACTTAAATCTGGAAGTAAAGACAATATGTTCAATTATAGACCTATTTCAGTTATCAATGTATTGGGAAGATTTTTGAGAAGTGTTTCAATAACAGACGTTGTTCATTTCTTGAGAAATATGACATAATATCGAACTGTCAATTTAGGTTCCGCAAAAATTGCAATACAGAGCAATCTCTACAAGAACTTACAGAAAAGTTTCAAGATGGAAATAAGACTGTTGCAGTTTTCCTAGATCTTCAAAAGGCTTTCGATTCAGTATCTCATACAATTTTATTAAAGAAACTAGAACGTGTTGGAGTGCGTAGTGGAGTTCTGAACTTATTTGAGAACTATTTGGCTGATCGATTACAACAAGTTAAGGTAGGGTCAGATTTAAGCAACATTCAAAAGATCAAAATAGGTGTGCCTCAGGGGACGGTTTTGGGACCAACACTGCTCCTCATAAACATAAATGAACTACTTCGATGTAATTTCAACTGTAAAATGATATCATATGCAGACGATACTGTTTTAGTTTGCACTGGTCATTCATGAGATGACGCAATACGGAATGCCGAGTTGTCATTAAATAAAGTCAAATGCTGGTTGGATAACAATTTACTTAAACCTAATATCTCTAAAACTAAGTATGTAACGTTTTCTCCAACCAAAGCAGGCATGCCACCGAACATTAATTATAAATGATAGTTCTGACACTGTCGAAAGAGTTGAAGTTATTAGATACTTAGGAATCATTGTTGACAGTAATTTAAAATGGCAGAGTCATGCCGAGCTTTTGGCATCGAAATTAAGGAGAGTTATTCATAAGTTTTTCATTCTTAGGAATATTTTAAGCAGAAAGAGTCTTCTCTCAATATATAACTCGTTTGTGGGGTCTCTACTAACTTACGGGATAAGTATTTGGGGAGCCGCATACACTAGTACTTTAAAAATACTACAAAACACGCAAAATTATATTGTCAGGACTACTTTTCGTATCCCATGTAGGTCAAGTTGCAGATTTGTTTACACTGAAAATGATCTTTTGAATTTTAGAGGTTTATATATTTTTGCTGCTCTAAAATTTGTTCACTCCCGAAACAATGTTCCAACCAGCCACGCTTATGAAACAAGAACTAAAATAAATATAAGTTACACCTATTCCAGAGTGAATAAATCTGTTTGCCAAAAATGCATAAAGTTTGATAGTATTAGGTTGTATAATAAATTACCTCTGGAATATAAAATCCTCTCGAAGTATAGTTTCAAAATAAGAATTAAGAAGTTCATCTTAAATAACTTTGACATGCTTGCATCGACGGTAGCTTGACTCAACTCAGTAATTTCGTTTCTATCTAATGTTTTTTTTTTTTTTTTTTATATACATTTGCTCATAATAACCTTATGACCATTAGCCATGCATTGAATTTGTATATGACACACACAAGCTTATAGCTTAGGTCTCTATTATTTGTAGTAAATTCTTTTGTAGTAAATTCTTTGTAGTAGTATAACAGTACTCCACGGGGAATTAATTAACTTCGATCTATCCTATTCGTCAGTGTCAGAGGTCGAGGTGCACAGTGAAAGTTTCTCTCGTAGTAAATCAGCCTTCAATTGAGACATTAAGCGAACATTTAACACACAACCCGCACCATGACTCTCGCTTTAGTACCGTTACCAACTTCTGCTAGGTGTATGCAAAAACTACTAAAATGTTCATTTAGATATCTGCACTGAACATAAACTGCGTAATTTTATGTTTAAGTGTAAGCGGCAGCTGTAATGATTGTAATGTTTACTAATCTTAGCGTAAATTTAATATATGCAGTGTTTCCTCCGCGCGATATGCCACACCGCGCACTTGGTTGCTGAATTATTAATATGTATGTTTTTGGTTAGTCACGGATATATCGTGTGTAATGTACGTTGAATATTTGATGGCCTGCCAATAATTGTTGACGTTGTTTGTCACTTTTTAAATTATAAAATATACAAAAATCTCAAAACATTGTGCTGATTACATTGCTTTATTAAGTTAGTATGTAATTTATGTATGTATTTTAATACAGTCATCAGCGAGTACACAGTAGAATATTTTAATTCATATAGTAAAAGGTAGAAATTCAATTTTAGACATGGCCAGCTCTTAGGTAGATTTGAATACTGAAGTCAAAATTCTAAGATTATCCAGTGGTTTAACAACAGAAAATTAACAATGAACTTTGCTAAAGCCCAGTGCGTGTGCAAATGTCCAAAACGATTAAATTACCAACCACTTAAAGGATTCAAAGAGAGTAAGCAATTACTTTTATTCGAGATGTTGTTTCTCTATGCCATTGTCTACAGAACTAATTTGCAGTGATCTATGATTGTTATTTAAATTCTGGACTTGCTTCTCTTCGAAAGAACTTGTACGCTTGTGATCTTATCATACGTTTGTACAACAACGCTTCGAATGCTTCTGGATGTTTAAGCATTGCCTCGATTCAGATTGGGACAAAGGAGCGGTCCTATCGGCCAGTTATGGATGTACGAAATCCGACGTGGTCAGGATGGGAGGCGGAAGTCAGGCTGGTCTGTCGGCGCGGTGACATCATGGAGCAAGGTCCATTGGAGTAGCGGTAGAAGAAAGCGAAAGGGCCCCGAGACTGTCCGCGAGAGTCAGCAGCATCAAGCAAAGTCTGGGCCTTATACAGAGCTCTGTTGTAATTAGGTTCACACCGAGAACTACTTGGTTCTAGCAATGGCCGTTATACTTTCTATTCGGCTTTTTTACACAATACGTCCAACATACAACTATAGGCATTGATAAGTGACTACATTTTTGAGAATCGAATCCTACATCCTAATATGAAAATGACCTTTTCGAATGGCTTAAAAATGAATAATAAGCGATCCATTACTATACATTTATATGTTTTTTTTTAAACCAGATAAAGATATCGTATGTTACTAATTTATCTGAAAACGATCAAGATAGATTGGGTGGCAGAGTAGTGAGTGCTGAGTAACTACGACTTCAGCTGCTTTTTAAAATTATTCAGCGTATAGTTTCGAAATTCATATGGAATATCGTTGTATAACTTAGCAGCAGTATAAGACAAGCTCTCTTTCTAGAGAGGCGTAAATTATAACTAATAATTGTCGATTTCTCGTAGCTAAGTTACGATGTTTTCAAATTTGTTGAGTTTATTCAAGAGATATTCTGGTTCCCTATGCACCAACATTTTATGAACCAAACATAGACTTTGGTATTTTCTGAGATTCTCCATGTTCACTTTACAATTATCTCTGTACACAACAAAGTTTTGTATACCTACAGAAAAACGGTAACAAGAATTTTGTAGCCGTTGCCACTTGTCTTTTATCAGTTTTTATTATACCTGGGGCATATACACTCGCGCAGTATGAAGCCCTTGAAATTATAAGAGCAGCATTTTCAGTGTAGTGTTCAATATATTTCTTTGAGGATATATTTGTTTGAGAATACTATACAGGGTGTCCGCAAAGTTGGGGTTTTCCTTTACACGACGTGTAGATCTTGAGAACATAAGCAATTTTTGTTAGTACCATATACACCAGTGTCTTAAGGGAACCGAGATAAAGGGCTCTGCAACATCAAAAATATCTGAATACCGTCCTGTAGCCGCGACATCCCCGAATGGTACTAGGACACTAGCTCAACCCGACGACAGAACTGGGTCGGGGTCAGTGTGTCAGGTCAGTATGCAGCCTTCAACCGACGGTTACGGTCACGCGTGTAGAGATAATCGCGTAGACGAGAATCCCTCAACAAGCACTAGAGACGTGGCTAGAGAAGTGCAAGTATCAAAAACTAAAGTGTGGCAAACGCTGCGTGAAGAGCGGCTGTATCCGTTTCACGTTCAATGTGTACAAGCCCTTCAACCTGACGATTTTCCAGCAAGAGTGTGGTTTTGTGAGTGGTTGTTGCATCAACATGACAATAATCCGGACTTTTTGAAGTGCATATTGGTGACAGACGAATCTACGTTCACGCGTAATAGGGTGAATACTTTCGCAACACTCATGTTTGGTCAGTAGAAAATCCGCACGCTGTCCGTCGGGCACATTTTCAACAAACATTTTCGGTGAATGTTTGGGCTGGCATGGTGAACGGTATGCTCATTGGACCATTTATTCTCACAAATCGCTTGGACGGGATGCAATACCTAGACTTTTTACGCAACATTTTGCCTTCCTTGTTTGCCTGCGTCTGCTCGGTAGCGCATCAGCTGATTTTATTTTCTGTTGGAGCGGTATGATTTCCGGCAGAGACGTACTAGCCTCTCGTCAACTGGAGAGTGAGTACTTTTTCCTCTATTTTTTTTACTTGGTCGCCCTCGTTTCACTACACATTACCTTTGTTATTTCAAGGGTAGTTGTTTCTGAAAAGGAAAACGACAACTTTGCGGACACCCTGTATATAATTTCGAACATAATTCTTTATTATGGAAACTAAATTTTAATTCATTCCATCCGTAACCCTAAATTTCTGCTAATGGTTACAGTTAGTAATGGAATTTTATTAATTACTAATTGACAAAGATTTTCAGCTGTATTACGCTTGTTTCTTGACTCAAAAAACATTATAATACGATTTATTAGCATTTAGTGTTAACAGCTGCTAAAGGTGGGAACAACATAGTCAACAGCAAAGATGCAGGAAATTTGAGTATCACCTGCATAACGATAAATTTTGCTGTGTTTTATATGTTTTGAAAAATCCGAAATGTATATAGAGAATTGAGAATGGAGCCTTGGAGTACATCCATTTTTAGGGTCGATTTATTAGACAATTCGTTATCAATGGAGACATACTGATATCTTGTAGTAAGAAAGCTTTTATGGGTTCGGTGGCAGCAGAGCTAAATTCATAATATCTGAGCTTGGCACACAACATTCCATGGACAATAGTATCAAACGCCTTGCTGTAATCTAGCCAAATTAAACAACTTGGGTGTATATCATAAACAGGTCTATGG